AGTAACTGAGACACTTACTGGTATATTTTCTATTACATCTTGCCCAATAAAAAGCATCAGCCAAAAGGAAAAACAGCCCTATTACTTTCATAAGGATTAACCCGGATTAGAGTGAGTACTTTTTGTCCCTACCCTTAAAAAAAATTCAACTTGAGTTAAAATGTGCATTGTACCTTCTCTGCTTGCAAGGTGTTAGACTGAATTCTAACAACCACTGAGATAAGCATACGTACAGCACAAACAAGTTTTAAAGCTTTAAAAGTATTTAATTTGCTATTGGGTGCTACAAAAATAGGAAAAGTTTGTGTTTCGAGTTCAAAGCCAGCTATGGCCTATGAGTTTTCCTAATATTTTATTCAGCAGCACCCTCTAGTGCTTTGTAGAAAGGACACATTATGAAATACTGCAAGCTGTTATAATACTAGTCTTGATTGCATTTATGCAGAAGTAGGCCTACTCTACCTTCTAAAATATGAAGATCAGGGGGTCATTTCCTGCTGGAGCACACCGGAGCAGCGCTCCAGCAGGAAGGAGCCCAGCAAGCCCCCAGCAGCAAGGTAAGTTGGTGGGGCTTCCACGTGCTTTTCTCTGCCCGCCAATGCGAACGGGCAGGGAAAGGCCTTCAGAGCCCCCCCCCCCCTGCACCTTCGCCTGCCCAATGCAGACGGGCATGGAAAGGCCCTCAGAGCCCCCCCCCCCGCCTTTACAGTGGCCACAAGATCAGCAAGGGGGGGGGGAGTTCAGGCTGCAGGGGAAAAAGTGTGCCGGGGGGTGGGTTGAATCCACTGATTCAGGTTAAAGGGGTTTGGGAGTCTAGTGGGATGTAATGAGAGGAGCACAGAAATCCTGGGTTTTCTGGTAGTAGAGGGCTTATAGCTACTACTTTTTGTTTCTTCGGGAAATTGATCTGTCTCCTTGGGGTTTCATGTTACAAACCGCCTCCAGTTGGGAAAGAATTGATCCCTTTAACGCCTGTTTCCTTCCTCCCCCCCCCTTCACCTAGAGATAAATTGCCTCTTCTTCCTACTTTTCAATCCGATCCCACCCCCCACCCTCCAGTTTATAACCAAGGAAAGAAATGTCTTCCAGTTTTGCTTCTCCCTCCTCTTCACAGGAGAGTAGAGAGATCCACTCCCTGTCATTTATAAGTTGATGGCTCCAGCACAACTTTTTAGCTTACTTTTAAAAATCACCCCAAGTCTCAGGAGAAATCTGTTTATTTGAGGAACAAGGAAATTTTTCTGAATATGTGGAGCAGGTTTGGTGTGTGTGTGGGAATTATCTTCTAGTTTTGCTATATATGCAAATTTGTACTCTCTGCCTCTAAGAAACTTGGTTAGCAACTGTGATTGCATCTCTGTAAGCTTTTCCACAGTGATCACATAGCACTGGTCATCCCAGATCCTTGCTCCTTTAGAAATCCAATTGATATAGGCAAGGAGAGTATTTGCAGCTGAACTGGAGCATCACTGTTCTTTGCAATGGTTCCTGCTCCCCACGGCCAGATTTTTTTTATTCGCACCGTCAGGATCCCTGAATGAGACACCCAAAACAAGCCAAGTGATGCCCTTCCTAAAACAAACTTTCAAAGAAGTGGCCTGCAGGGACCTTTCTATGCTAAAAGACACTCAAATGTACCACATGAGGATTTTTGGTGTAAATCAAAAAAGACATCCAAAACCAAAATCTTATTAAAGTGAGATTGGTTGGGGGGGAGGGGGAACCTGATCAGATCAACCCCATTATGGATGCTTTTGGGTTCTTACAAACACTTCATCAGGTAAATGTCTATACTGATGAAGTGTTCTCGAGAACTCTTAAGCCTGCTCCAGCCAGGGTGGTGTAGTGGTTAAGAGTAGCATTCAGAGACCCCCGCGCGCCTTTCCCCACCTGTTCATACAAGACAACCATTTATTTGGACAGGGTTTTTGAAATAATTTATTTTTCATGTAACTATATAGGTACACTGTTGTGATAAGCATGTAACTTCCTTTTACAAAACAAACCAACCCCACTTATATAAAGCAAATTTGCCCTTCTAAGAACACTGGACTTTAAAAAAGCTGAACCCAGGAGGCTTTGTATAGCAACTATCACAAAAATAAATAGCAATACTAACTTGATCTGTATTTTCATGCTTGTTGTAGGGTAACTTCCAGTGATGTCAGGGGGTGTGGCTAATGAGCTCCTGCACCTCTTTTTCTACTAAATGACCCCTGCTGAAGATTAAATTTAGCTTTTCCCCCCAGGACAGCAGATCACAGCCTCCAAAATGGCAGTCTCAGTGGCTGCATTCTTGGGATCCTGTTTTCTATTGGGCAATCATCATTTTTGCCATACTCCCAACAATCTTGTGATCTAGGCTGGAAAAATGAGACTGATGGCTCAGCTAGGTCACTGCCAAATTTTGGAAGTGGGCCTGAAAAAACCCCACCAAAAAACCCCAACCAAGCTCTTCCCCTGCCTCTTGACGTTTACTTGGCTTGCTGAGCCCAATTCAGAATCAAGCTAGGAAACAGCTTACCCAGCCAACATCTACGGCAGAGCAATGTCAAAAGTGAAAGCTGACAGCCAATTCTATCAGTTCCTGTACCAGGATGTGCCTAAGATAATCAACCTCCTTTTTCTTGTTGGCATCCTAAGGTCTGTTTCAACAATGGGTTTTAGTACTCCAAGCCCACGACTTTTGTTTTTTAATGGCAATGTTCTGCAGCAGCGATGTTACTGCAGTGCTAGGCAAGGGCTGATTTGTTGTTGCATTTGCCCATTTGCATCCCTTTTTCTTTGCATAGCTGGTTTATACACTGCCTGATACCAGAGATTACCACACTGTGTGTCAGGTCAAGATAACATGATTTGAAAAATTAAGCCCCCAAATTGAATGCATCCACTATCCTGTACTCTCTGCACACAGCACAGATATTCCACTATGTCTGCCCATATATGGGCACTGACATCATCATGAGGGAGGGGTTCAAGATGCACCACAATTCTGACAGAGCCTGGACTACAGCTGATTGGTAAACAGAAACTCCAGAAGTATTACCATCATACAGAAACCCTAGTCTCATCTGTGAACCTCTGCATGATTGAGCCAGCCTGTTTATATAACTTTGGAATATATAATAAAAATGTACCAGTTGATTTTCTTAATCTTTTACCCACTTTTTTTCTTTTTACAAATTTATTTTCATTTTAATATTAAAAACATACTTTCATGTTACATATTTCATCAGATACACTTATGGAGTCTTATTCATTTACATTGATCCAGCTATACAGCCTCTTCCATCTTTCCTTAAATACTTTTTCATCCTTTCCCTGAAGGATTAAGCTTAACTTGTCCATCTCCACTATCTCTTTTTTTCTTCATCAGCATATACTACTAATACAGGAAACATGAACGTGAGTCAGAATAACTAATACTTCCTTACTATATAATATATACATTTACTATATATACTTTCATTACACATTATATGGTAAGGTAGCAGTAATTTTTGATCTACTATATGCGTGTACCCTTACCTTGATGGCCCAGGCTAGCTCGATCTCATCAGATCTCAGAAGCTAAGCAGTTCGGCCCTGGTTAGTACTTGGGTGGGAAACCACCAAGGAAGTCCAGGGTTGCTATGCAGAAGTAGGCAATGGCAAGCCACCTCTGAACATCTCTTCTCTTGAAAACCCTACGGGGTCACCGTAAGTCAGCTGCAAGCTGACAGCATTTTCCACCACCACCACCTCATATTAAGTAAGTCTTGTAAGAATTGGTTGCTAGCAGACATTAGATTCAAGGTGTTTTGACTGTGACTCTGCTGACTCCTAGATTCCCTTGCTGCTACAGAATAGAAGGAAGCCAGTGAAATGAAGCGAAAAGTACTGTAAACAGCAGCAAAATCACTGATCCTTGAAATGCAGTAACTCCATTGTTTAATAAAAGATACTACATGTTTTATCTATCTCCCCGCCCCCAGCTTCCTCCTAGCCAAAGGTCTCTCCTTTACCTAAACAACCCCCCTCCCATTTTTTTTTAAAAAAATATTCAATTGTATGTGCCATGGGCACATGGATGAACTTCATTAGAAAAATTTGGGGGGAAGAATATACTTAGAGGATTTATCAGTTACCTAACATAACTCATTTGGTAATACTGACTGGAAGGGGTGATGTAAAAAAGGTAAATGATCAGTATTCACAGCTCTTTGGAAAGGACAAAATCAATATTTGTTACCTCCTGTGCTTGGATTTTATGGGATATTGAATGGCAGCTGAGAGAAGCAATTCGAGAACCAGCACCCAGAAAACAAGCACTTGTCCTGCTCAGACCCCTCTTGTCTCTCTCAAAAGCTATTCAGTGTCTCTGGGCTATGCTGTTGAGCTGCCACTGTGGTGTCGGTGGGGAGTGCTTCTTCATGGAATTTGTCACGACAAGGATCTTGTGGGAAGGAATCAGAGGACTACTTGCAGTTCTCCTTCTGACCTTGGCTGGTGGGCAGCTGCCTCAACCTCCTCCCACCGCACGTGCCTGACCTGGCAGAAGGCTGGACGAGGAACTGTGGCGACAACCACAAGGGTGAGGAGCAGCAATGGCTGAAGGGTGGCTGTTCTCCCTCCTTCTGGTGCTGGCTTTCCCTTGCCCCTAGGAGAGAACAGAAGTGCAAGCACCCTCGGAGAATGGCTCTAAAATCACACTGTTTCAAATGTTTAAGGGCTGCAAATCAGAAAACTGGATCCGGCAAAGTTTTCATCCTCCCCTGCTGCTGAGAACACCACTTAGGGATCCTTAATTTTATTCCACAGAGCCACTTCACTCTATGGCTGAAAGGAACAGATACCGACACTTGTCTCCACTTCACTTGTTTTGTTTTGTTTTAAATGGGGCGGATCAGAAGAAGTTATGGGTGTCTGTTTACTTTAGTTTTCCCATTAGGGGCCCAAAGCGGTTTACAGTGTTCTCCTTTCCTCCATCTAATCCTGTAAAGTATGTTAGGCTGAGAGTGTGTGAGTGACCCAAAGCCACCCAGCAAGCTTCCATGGCAGAGTGGAGATTCCAACCTGGGTCTCTTGGATCCTACTCTGAGGCTTACCCAGAAACTGAGATCATACCCCTTTCAGTGCTTTCAGATCCAGAAAGTTTTATTTCTTGCACTTTGCATTTCCAACCAACCACAAACTTATTCTTCTTTAACTTATGGGGAGTGGTTGTAGTTGCCAAAAATCCAGTCATGTGAAATATAACGTCATTCAATATAATAAGGTTAAATAAAGGGAAGGGGATAACCTCATACACAGAGAACGAGAGCGACAGATGGAGAGAGGCAGGTGGCTTGGTGCGGAGATGAAGACTTCTAATGTAGTTTCTGAAGTTGTCTGACACAGAACAGCTGCAGGACTTAGCAGACTGCTCCAATCGCTATCCAAAGAACCATTTCAGACATTCACCTTCCTCCTTCCTGGACGTGGCTAGCCTCAACATTTCAGTCTTCCAGCCAATTCTACTGCTATAAGATGGGAAAGCATCAGCCTATTGTTTCAGCCCCAGATGACAAAATAATAAGAGTAGGCTAAGGCAAGCTCCCTTACAATGTTATAAATCAATATATCCTACCAACAACAGGCTTTTCAATGGAATTTTATTTATCAAAAATAACTCGCCAGAGTTCCCTCTCAGGAGCATACACGGGTTCCTTTCATTTTTTTCCCACTGTGAAATTTTGCTACCTGGTGATGGGAAGATATTCCGTGTTCTACAAAGGCTGGGCCAGACAGAGGTTCACAAAGAAAACTCCTTTCTGTTTGTTCAGGCAAAACACCATGGAGACTGCAAAGCTCTTCCACTGGCTTAGCAGCACGGCCCCTTATTGCTCCATCCAGTCCTGAAGATTCTTCACTACAAATGTGGCAGTGATGTGCCCTCTTTATGCTCCTTCTTAGTCACTGTGTGCAGGTGCTTCAGTCGAATAGGAGGAAGCTGTTCATAAAGGTCAAAACCTACTCGGCTTTCCTTGTTGGGTAACTTGTAGTAGAGAAGATGTCTCTTTAATGCCTGCAAGAAGCGGTGGTAAATTGAGTAGGGCTGAAAGGAAGAAGGAAAATGCGCAAGGGCTTTTCCCAGTGAATTCAATATAAATTCCAGAAATATAAATACCAGAAACAATAACTCTTTCTAGGCAATGCAACAATGTTTTTCTAAGAGGGGGCAACACTGAAATGTTGTGCTCCACCCAGGTGATGTTCACCCAATTAGCATATCTGTTCTAAAATTAGCAGTTTATCAGTATTTCAGTACCAAACAAGTTGATAAAAGCCTTGCAAGCATAGCTATAGACTCTGCTGCTTGAAATGAATAATAATAAATTTCAAGTATTTAAAGGGCTCCACACACAATTAGATGACTTTAGTATAGCTACTTGTCACACAATGTGAGGAAAATAATACAGAAAATACATTATTGGCAGATGGAGAGTTTGCCTAAGGCCTTAAAATGTGTAGGCAGCTGGGATCACATGTGAAACTTGAGCCTTCCCAGTTCACTTCTTAATTCTATTGGGCTGTCTTTGTGGATCAAATAAGTGCCTGTGAATTCTCCCCTCACTCTATAGCACCACTTTGAGTGTACTCATCCAACAGTAATTAAAAAAAAAACTGAGCAAACTTAAGACAGTGGTTTGGATCCAGTACAAAATTTCCACTTGTACTAGAGTTCTTGTGCAAACAGAGATTCAAGGAAAAGACCATGGTAGTAGTTTGCACCAAGTCAAACTTAATTGTCTCCCCAGGATCTTCTTCAACAATTTTTGGGCACTATAATATACAGGGAAGAAAGCACTCAATGTTACACGAGATTTTGCACAAGCAGAACTGTGCTAAGTTCATTTATATTTCTGCTTGCACACCACTGGATCTAAGCCAATATCCAAACCACCCTGCCAAAAATGCACTCTGCCTAAGCCCATAGTGGAAATGCATGCTCCCACTGGAATAATTTTACCAATTTGGCTCTTAGCGCTAAACTGGAATTGTGCAAAGTGAAGGGAATGCACACACAGTTTTGCTTGACATTCTGCCTTGTAAGTCTACATCATCCCTGCTGATACCATGACTCCTTTGATCTGCTTGTTTGAACAGGGAAAAGGAGCCCGTACAGAAATACACACAAATGTCTGCAGTAAGCAGAGGTGAACCATGGGTCCTAGTATATACAGACATACCACATAAACACAGTATGATAATTCTGCAGCTGTAAAATGCCATTATTAGTATTACAAGATCAGTGTTGAAAACCTGATGCAGAGAGCCCACCTCATCTGCCAAGAGCCAGATCTTCTGCAACATGTTTCTTCGGGCAACATCAATCTCCTGAAATAAAACAGAGAAAACATTAGAATCTAGATCTTTATAGCTGCTTCACTAGGAGCAAGAATTGTGATGCTCTGGCATGCCTGTCCTGTTATCACAGGCAACACTGAATTTGCAACAGCTGAGTTCTCTATACCTTACATATCAACCTTTTTCTCCTGATACAGCATGGGCAGCAGAATCAGTGAAGATGCTCCTAAATGCATCTTGGCTTCTTGGTTTGGTCCCTACGGACTAACTTTTGGGAATATCAGTTCTGTAGACTAGGGCATGGATAAGGAGTGATCTGATATGCCATAATTTATGGCCTAGAAGGGACTCCATAAAATGCATATACATGTAGCCTCATGTATATATTTTTAATATATCATTTATATTTATCATTGTTATATTTGCAATACCAGTGTGATAAAATGGATTTTTATAACAGAAAAACAGTTTTCACACTCACAAGCTTCCCCACCCCGCAAACTACAGTGATGCACAACATAAAACTCACAGTATGCACAAAGCCCAACATGAGCTAATAATAAAAGTTAAATGGCCTTCAAGATGGTTTAAGCTGAGAATCCCTGGACGGACACTGGTGATGAGGGTAGGCAAGAGGGGCAGCTGCAGCTCTGAGCTCCATTCTGGGTTTTGCTGCTTGTTGCCTTTGGTACATGTGGATTCAAGCCCACTCTCAACACATGAGGGTATACCCCAAAGGTCAAAGGAGGACGGTCAAGTGCTGGACCCCTTCAGGCTGCATGTCCTTTACTCACTGACTGGAAACGTCATCATGCAGGGGGAAAATATCAGAATCCTCTCTGAAATCACTTGGCCTCACACCAGGACTTCATAAGGGTTTTGGTGTGTGTGTATGGGGGGGGGGGGATTGTTTGTTTGTTTCTCCCTGGAGCATGGTGATATAATTCCTGAAAGAACCAAGTTGATGCAAAATTTTTGCATTACATTTTAAAAGCCCTTTAAGGAGAAAATTGGATAGGGGACTCTGGAAGTGTGTGTGCTGGCAGTGAACCACAAGACATTCATTATACCGCCTCTCCCCCTATGCTCATGACAGCTTTGCTCATCTGAGCAGGGCCTTCTGCAGGTGCCAACCTGCAAACGGACAACATCAACAACTGCCCATACAGGTGCCTTCTCTGTTGTGGCTCCTGGCTTGTGGAATGGCCTCTGCCTGAGGAAGTCAGGAAGGCTCCCACCCTCCTGGCTTTCTGCAAACTGCGCAAAACTGAATTATTCAAGAGGGCTTTTCTACGCAGGCAGCAGGGTAGCCCTGTGCAAAAGGCTTCACAAAGCTACTTGGATAAAGTATTGGGGACTGTGGTCTGTACTACTGTGTACAGTTCGCTGTAGGATGGATCCCATTGTGTAATCTTGCATCATTTAATGCGTCATGTGCTTCAACAGTGGGAGGGCTTCTAATGTCCTGGCCCCACTGCTGGACCTCCTGATGGCACTGGTATTTCTGGCCACTGTGTGACACAGAGTGTTGGACTGGATGGGCCTTTGTCCTGATCCAACATTGGCATCTCTTATGTTCTTATGTGTTACCACTTTGCTTCAGTTCTGTTTTTTAGGCTTCTGGTTGGTTCTACAACCCAAATCCTATTTCATTGTTTACTGAATGTCCCATCTTGTTGATTGTAGTGACTCACTTTGTATAATTCGCCTTGAGTCCCAGTGAGAAAGGCAAACTATAAGTAACATAAATAAAGGGTGTTTAAAAAAAAAAAAACTTTCTCGCTTAAAAGTCACTTGCTTTCAATGCAACCATCAACAGAAAGACATGGATCTCGCACAGAGGAGACCTATGCACAACAGAAACAGGATGCAGCATGGTCAGACTTTTTTGTTTTACTGTAAGATTGTCACATACCTTTGTGGTGTTCTCCTGAGAGAAAATGAAGCTGTTCACGTGAGCCACAGCAACCACATAAAGCACAGGGCACCAGCTGTGCCGCAAGACACCTGTGACCAGTGTCTGGAAATACTGCCTTAGAAGATTCAGATTGTCCTCAGGTGGGGAAAGGTACAGCTCCAAAGGCACCGGAAACTGCAGCAAAGCCAAGAAAGAAACTTCACCTTTCCTGAAATATTGTCTACATGAAAGGAAACTGAACTGGATCCATAATGATTAGCAAAGCAGAGGACAAAACAGCTCAGGATCTGGAGCAACCCAAGATCCCAGTGGCTAGAGGATGGGGTTTGCCTGAACTCAGGATGGAGAATTAAGTTTACAGAAGGTTTGTATATAATAAATAATGCAGGGAGGGGCTATGGCTTAGTGGGAGAGCATCTGATTTGTAAGCAGACAGTCCTAAATTCAATCCCTGGCAGCTCCAGTTAAAATGACCGTGTAGCAGGTGATGCGAAAGAGTTTTGCCTGAGACTCTGGAGAGCTCCTGCCAGTCAGAGTAGGAAATACTAACAGTCCAGTGATCTGACTCAGTAGAAGGCAGCTGTTGGGGGACCTCGTGGTGCGATTTACATACACTGTACATCACAATGTAATTTAACACTGGCTGATTTAGGCCAATTCAATTTATTTATGAAAGGAAAGCCTTGCATTATAGTTTGCAAATACACACCCTTGCATGTGGTGAGGTGAATCATAATCAGGGCGGAGAGTGAAGCAAAGAGAGGCCCCACTGAAGATTCAGCACTCAGTATCCACATGTCAACTCAAATCTCATTACACTCTATTTTTTTATTATTTTTCAACTTTGCGTGGAAGTGGAGGAAACAGGATAAAGAAACAAAGACATTTCAGTGATTGAGCAAACAGTCCGTATAGGAATACACCTGAGACCTACCTGCTGTAGTGGAACTCCCAGTGCCCGCAAGGTGCTTACATGCTCTCCAAAGACAGCCAGCCTTAGTTGGACATTGAACCGTCTTTGTAAAGGAAGAAGCACAAAGACCCCAAAGAGGGGGTCTCCAAAGGAGACAGCTTCAAAATGTTCCAGGAGGTTGATGTACAGATCATAGAAAGAAGCTAAACCAGGGAGGGGAGCATCCAAGTTCAAGGAGTCCAGGACTTTGCTGCGACAGTAAAGTGAGAGAAGAGCAGCTGTGTAGCAATGGACGGCACCTTCCAAGAACAAGTCACTGCCAGTGAGGAAGACACACATAAGCCGCGCAAGTTTAGCTGCAGCCGAGATTCCCTGAAGGATTCTGGGTCTCCAAGTCTCCAAGAGGAGGACCCACTGCAAGCTCCGGGTCATGATGTTCACCAAATCCACAGGAAAAGGTTTCACAACAGCCCACTGTGTTTCTGCACTGGTCACTTTGTTATAGAGGCTAATAAGTGGAAGGAAAGGCCAATCAGAAGGTAGGGTGGGTCCTCTGACCTCAGGAAGAAGCATGGATTGGATAAGGTGAGTTCTTCCTTGATACGCATCTCTGGAACGAGCAAGTGCAGGCTCCAAGTAAGCAAAATGAGAGAGGTAGCAAACTTGGATAAATGGGAGATGCTGGTATGCTTCTTTCAGTAAGGCTCCGCGACTGGGGTGGGGAGAAATGGAAGCCACTGAGCCTGGCTGTGTCAGCTTTGCCCTTGAGCTGAGGTGCAGGATGTCTGAGAAGTCAGCAGCCTCTGGTCCACCTGCTTGGCCTTCACTGTTAAAAATAAAGAGATGATAAATGTTGGCCCTCCCCCTTTACTAATAAAGAGGGGCACATTGGTATTTCCTACAGCACAGCAGTAATCCTCAACAGAGTGCATTATCTCCCTGTTTGCCGATAAAGATGCAGCAGGATACCAAGCTACTGCCAACAGTTTCCTCATATTTAGAATGTGCTGCTAAAATGTACTTGTTGCCTTGCTGGATTAACATTAGAGGTCAATCTAGTCCAGCATTTCATCTTCAGCAACAGCGACTAGATGGAAGCCTTTGGGGACCACCCAAATTGGACATCACACTCACGGTTAAGGACATATAAGATGTTTAAGCATAAGCAGAGTCTGGATCAGACAGTGGTCCCTCTAGTCCAGCACCCTGGGGTTGTTGTTCTTGTTTTTTTTAGAATTTTTTATTGCTTTTCACTATAAACTACAAATCTACACACTACAAATTCAGAGTAGCAAGGTACAGTAATGATCTATCTTGTGCTTTGGATGTTTCCCTA